TCCCGTGGGTGTCGTAAAAGGCGACAAAGGGAAACAGGCAGGAGATGGGCAGCAGCATCTTCCTGATAATAGCCAAATTACAATAAAAAAACTGCGGTTGCCAACCCGCTCGCCAAGCGTGGCAACTATGGCAAATACCCCCCTATGAATGACAGTAACAAAAAAACGGCCCCCAGTCCCCGGCGGCCCCGCTATTCCTGGCTACGGTGGCGACCATGGTAACGGCGGGGCAGGGGGTGCTAAGAATCTCCGGTGGAGGTTCGGTTGCCACCTTAGACGACTCGACCTGGCAACGTACAACGCACGCACCCTGAGGACTGACGAGAAGATCGTGGAGCTGGAAGAAGAGATAGACAAGTTGCGCTGGCATATTATAGGATTATCCTGGCATATTATAGTTGCGCTGGCATATTAGAGATTTGTAAAGAGGTTTGTAAGGATCGTGACACTTGGCGATCTGTTCTCTCTGGCTACCCCGTCAGGGATTGTGCGTGAAGATAAGTAAGTAAGTAAGTAAGTATCCGAAGTCCGAAGAGAGGGGGAGGACACGGTAATCCTCGAATCCGGCAACTTGCTCTATCACCGGGAGGGCGACCATCTGTCCCAAGGAGGTGTCGGATTTATCGTCCACAAGTCTCTCGTTAACAACGTTGTAAAGATCGGGAGTATGTCGACGAGGGTTGCGTACCTTATACTCAGAATCACCAAACGGTATTCGCTGAAGGTCATACAGGTTTACGCACCAACCTCGGCACACCCCGATGAGGAGGTGGAGGAAATGTATGAGGATATCTCTAGAGCCATGCATTCCTCCAAAACCCAATATACGGTGTTAATGGGAGACTTCAATGCAAAACTAGGCACAAGAGAGAACGGTGAGCTGAAAGTAGGGAAATTTGGAAGAGGGCAACGGAACCCACGGGGCCAGCAGCTGGCCGACTTCATGGAGAAAGAGGGACTCTTTATGATGAACTCTTTCTTCCAGAAGCGGCCCCACAGGAAGTGGACCTGGTCGAGCCCCGACGGTTCCACAAAAAATGAGATTGACTTCATTATGACGACCAGACGACAACTGTTCAGTGATGTCTCCGTGATCGCGAGGGTGAAAACTGGTAGCGATCACCGAATGGTTAGAGGCACACTGAACCTAAACGTTAAGTTGGAGAGGTCTCGTCTAATGAAGTCAACGCTCCGTCCCCCTCTTGCTCTGTTCCAAAGTCCCGAAACCCTTCAGCTCGAGTTACAAAACCGTTTTCAGTGCCTGGAAGACTGCATTGAAGTGGACGATATGAATGACAAGCTCGTGGAAACTGTCCATGCGGTCGGAGCTAAGTTCTGCAAGACCCGCCGCAGAAGAACACAAAAACTCTCCGATCACACTCTTAATCTCATGGCTGTTAGACGGGAGATGAAGCTACATTCTTCAACAGACTTGACAGCATACAGGCATCTGAACAGACAGATCTCCAAATGCATGCGGCGGGACTTACGCAAATTCAATACAGCTCGTATTGAAGAAGCGATCGAGCGGAACCAAGGCTCCAAAGTCTTTGCCAGAGATCTGTCTGCCAGAAAGAGCCAACTGTCAAAGCTGAAGACAGAATGTGGCAGCATCGTTTCCGGGACACCTGAGATTTTGAGTGAGATTGAGAGGTTCTATGGGCAGCTGTACACATCATCGTTGGAGCCACACGCAAGTGTGAGTAACGATCCAAGAGCGAGTCTCATCCGACACTATTCGGAAGATATCCCGGACGTCAGTCTGAGCGAGATTAGGATGGCTCTCCAGCACCTTAAAAACGGTAAGGCCCCAGGCGAGGATGGAATTACAGCGGAGCTTCTGAAAGCGGGTGGAAGACCGGTACTTGAAGTCCTTCAGAAGCTCTTTAATTCCGTCCTCCATGGTGACATTACACCGGAGGCGTGGAGCAGAAGTGCGGTGGTCTTGTTCTTCAAGAAAGGTGACAACGCTCTCTTGAAGAACTACAGACCGATTTCCCTTCTGAGCCGCGTCTACGTGCTGTTTTCAAGAGTCATTACGAATCGTCTCGCGCGCAGACTTGACGACTTCCAGCCTCCCGAACAAGCCGGTTTCCGAAAGGGCTTTAGCACCATAGACCACATACATACCCTTCGGCAAGTTGTACAGAAGTCCGAAGAGTACAATTTGCCACTATGTCTGGCGTATGTGGACTATGAGAAAGCCTTTGATTCCGTCGAAATTTGGGCGGTGCTGCAGTCCCTTCAGCGTTGCCAAGTTGACTGTCGGTATATCAAAGTGTTGAAGTGCTTGTACAGTAGGGCTACGATGACTATCCGAGTACAGAACCAGAGTACGAAACCTATCCAATTGCAGAGAGGTGTAAGACAGGGTGACGTCATATCCCCGAAACTCTTCACCGCTGCATTGGAAGACGTTTTCAAGCTTCTGGACTGGAAAGGATACGGTATCAACATCAATGGCGAGTACATCACTCACCTTCGATTTGCCGACGATATAGTCCTTATGGCAGAATCGCTGGAGGACCTAAGCACTATGCTCAATGACCTCAATAGTGTTTCCCAACGGATAGGTCTTAAGATGAACATGGACAAAACAAAGATCATGTTTAATGTCCATGTCACACCTATGCCGGTAGTTGTTGGGAGCACTAAGCTCGAAGTTGTTGACGAGTATGTTTACCTGGGACAAATAGTCCGACTGGGTAAGTCCAACTTCGACCGAGAGGTCAATCGACGGATTCAACTCGGCTGGGCAGCGTTCGGGAAGCTACGACACATCTTCTCGTCAGACATACCTCAAAACCTTAAAACGAAATTGTACAACCAGTGCGTGTTGCCAGTGATGACTTACGGAACTGAGACGTGGTCCTTCACTGCTGGCCGTATGAGGAAGCTCAAGGTCGCTCAGCGAGCTATGGAGAGGGCTATGCTCGGAGTTTCTCTGCGTGATAAACTTAGGAATGAGGATATCCGCAGTAGAACCAGAGTGACCGACATAGCCCAACGGATTAGTAAGCTTAAGTGGCAGTGGGCCGGCCATATAGCTCGAAGAACCGACAACCGATGGGGAAGAAAGGTTCTCGAGTGGCAGCCTCGTACCGGTAGGCGAAGTGTAGGGCGTCCCTCCACGAGATGGAGTGACGACCTGGTAAGACATGCAGGAAGTCGATGGATGCAGGTGGCTCAGGACCGTGTTTTGTGGCATTCTTTGGGGGAGGCCTATGTTCAGCAGTGGACTTGTGAAGGGCTGTAATGATGATGATGATGATTACATTTAAACGTGGTAGAGCCATGCTGCAGCTATATTAATAGTATAGTTGTAGCACGAATGGGTCGGCTCGACCGGGGAAAGACCACGCTCTCACAGAATACCATTGTAAAATAGCAGCTTAACGCTGCTGTGTTTCGTATGGTAAGTGTCGAGAACAGTAAACCCTTTTTACTGGGAACGAGGCATTACATCTTAGTCTTCACGGCTGACAACGCATCTGCATTTTAATTCGCAAACAACGATAGATGTAGATGTCTATGCGCCACAGCGACCACTTACCATCAGGTGGACTGTGTGCTAGTTTGTCACCCTTATTATATAAAAAAAACATACCTCTCTAACCGATATACTCTAAAAATCATATAAAGATAAAACAAATAATTTCAACTAATGCAAACAGCGTTTGAATTTTATTATTTGGAGAGGCACATGAAACTGAACATAAATATCCCAGTTTATTAATAAAATCACCTAAACTGACTTTTTTTGTATTTTATTTTCTTATGGTCTATTCCTTGTCTATGTGACAAACGGTTATACTTGAATTTCGTTTTTGAATATTGAAACTATTTTCTGGGCTTTACGGCAAAGGTAGTTAATTCGAATTACACTCTTTTGTACTTTTTTTATAAATTTTGATATTGTATATATTATTTGTATTTGACAACAAACGGATATTGCATGCCTTAAGCGCGATGCGCGCAGTTATGCTCTGCTAGGGCCTAAAAATTAAGATTCCAACGTTTTGTCGCATGCAATCATATCTAGCAATCATATTATACATATAAATTATATAAAAAGCACATTGTCAGAAAGATAAATGATTTTTGAACTTACTAATACTTTTTTTTAATCGAATAATTGCTATTTTTACATAAAAAGGTGTTTTAGTGGCTTATGGTGTAAATTTATCAAGAACGCATGGCGGCGTAAACACGATAACTTTTGAAAATATCAATTGTTCAACTCAATCTATTTTTAAAACTCTTCGTCTATCATGTGGGAAGCCATGGAATGTAAATGGTAGTTTAATTTTGTTTTGTTTAGTTATTATTAATTTTTTTCGGCTGCAAAATGTCGAAATTTTCGGTGTTTTAGCAGCCTTTTATTAATTCATTTTACTGAATAGACTGCCTCACTCACTCCGGCGTCAATCACCGTCGTGAGTGGATACTGTATCGGTTGTTTGCAGTGGCTCAAAAAGATCGCTGTACAAATACAAAATATTGATAAACCAAATTTCATACATACTTGATTATTATAATAATCAGAGATTTTTATTACAATATTTTAAAAGCACACAATAAATAATAGTAAAAGGGAATGACTCCCATGACATTCTCTACATGATAAGCTATTCAAACTGACTAGGCCTAATGTTCAAGTTAACTCCCCCCCCCCCAATTTTCATGTTTTAGTCTTTACTTCCAAATAATCATGTACATGTAAAATATAATAAAAATACAATTAGAGTAAACGAGCTTACTACTTGCATTAAATGATTCAATTTTAATTATTTAGGTATCATTTTTTTTGTAGTCAAAATTAGTTTCTCTACCTAAAAAGTTTATTTCATTTTCTTTTATTTTTGTAATACCCATTAGCCCTTTGTTATTTAGCTGTAGCTGTGTACTATAATAAAATAATAATGTCCACCTTACAATAATTTTAACCTGATCCAAATATTAACAGTAAAATAAAAATTTCAAACATTATTTGTGCTCACCTAAATATATTTCTGTATTATTTCTAGCAAATGCATACGCAAAAGAGGCAACAATTTTGCTCGTACAGGAAATTATTCCCAGAAGTGTGTCATCCAGTTTCAAATGGTTGCTAAACAAGCTTATAGAAAATAATGTCCCTGTGAAAGAAATAATGTTTTTTTACACAATGTATAAGTGGTAAAAGAATAAAATATGCATAATACTTCAAAAGTATTTTCTAAATGGAATTTTTAAACTTACCTAACAAATTTGTGACAATGCAGTAAGTCATCCAAATACTGTATTGAACCTCATCCCAGTTAAACCTATATCTTGTAAACAGGTACAATACACTATATTCACCTAAAAGTTAAAAACATTTATTAGGTACATTATAAAATAGACTATATTATCACCAATGATAATTTAAAATTTACAAAAGTTTTTATTTGTTTCTCAGGCCAACAAAAGAAACTACATACGTTTCTAGAAACGCAAAAACCAAGCCTAAACTTCGCGTAGTGTATATTTTCTTTGTCTAAACCATGCTCAACTAATTAAAAGAATACACACTTACGTTTGCAATCAACAACATCGATTTAGATACATATGAGTGCGTTCAGCGGTGAACTATTATGGACTGATGAAGAAAGAAAAAGAAACATGTGTTCAAGAAGTTGAGCATGTTTTCGGCTTTCGGCATCACTTGAAATGTACGCAGCGCCTATACAAGGCATTTATTTGTTGGGCTAAAGTTTATATAACATACGTCATAAACAACCGTGTAGTGTCGGTGTAAAAATATCCAAAGAGGTGGCAGAAGGAAATGAAGCAGGGGATGGGGAGCAGCATATTTCTGGTAACAATTTAAACTAATAAAAACTGCGGTGGTAACTGCCAAGCGTCACAACTACGAGTATAGTTAAAGATCCTTCCTATGAGGAAACCTATGGGGGAGGTCTACTAGTATGTTAAGCAGTTAACTTTTGATAGTAGCTGTAATGATGATTATGACAGCATTGATATTAAATTGAAAGAATTCGTAAAAGAAGGAGAATGAAACTTGCCTTGTGATGGTCCAAAAATGACGCACACAGCTATAAGCAGAAGGCCCACTCTTAATCTTCTGTTACCAGACCTCTTACTGAAAGCGACTTTAAAAGTTTCCATCACTAATTTAATATCAAAAAATTCACAGATGAATTCAATACACCCACTTCGCTCCTGAAATAATCCAATAAAATATTTTTCATATAATACATTATGAGCAAATATGCCATAAGTAGTTATTAAAATAAATTAATTATTTTTAACATGGTAAAGCCATGCTGCAGCTTTATTATGTTGTGAAACAAATGAGTCGGCACGACCCTAAAATAACAGCACAATGCTGCTGTGTTTCGTAAGGTGAGTGTAAAGAATCGGAGACACTTTTTACTGGATACGAGGCATTTCATCTAAGGGTGATAACTCATTCGTATTTTGATTTTTAATGGAGGATATGTGTAGATGTCTATGGGTCACAGTAACCACTTACCATCAGGTGGAATATGTGTTCGTTCGTCACCCTTATTCTATTAAAAAAATTAAGTTCCACTACCCCATATCATGTGGGTGTGTGGGTGTCGTAAGAGGCGACAAAGGTTAATAACAATTCAAAGAAAGACTGCTAACAATTCAAAATAAAAAACGGAGGTTTCCAATCCACCTTCTAAGTGTTTCAACTTAATTAAAATCTTTCTATGAGGCAACCTTTGGTGAGTGCTATGTTCAGGCCTATTTTTTTAACATTGTAGGCAAAATGGGGTATTGGATTCTCTTACGGTAGTGTAAGAGAATCCAATATCCCAATTAGTAATATGGTAAAAATAAAATAAAATTAGGTAATATGTAAAATTACAGTCAAACAAATAAGTTAAATATTTCCTAGGTGAATGGTTTCAGTCAGAGAGTCACTTTGTAAAACAAATGAAGAAATATAACATATTACATATGTGTATGATATTAAATTTCGTTGTATATAGAAAGTAAAACACACAAAAAACTTTTATTTATGACCCTAAACCACCAATGATTAAACGCTACACGATATTAAGATGTCACTTAGTCTAGTGGTATCACAGTGACTTTGACTTGAAGTGATAGAGATAGCATGAGACTTAACGGAATCTTAAAATTAAGTAACGTTTGAGTATAGTAGTAGTTTTTACAAGAAAATATCTAAGTCATAAGTAGCCCGTACGATTACGGTAAAAAGTCGATTACTTCATGTATGGCATCAACATGAAATCGCTAAAAAGAGGATGTACAGTTAATACACCTCTACTTACCAGATCGGCGATAAAGGCATGATAACTTTATGGTGTTTATTAAAATGATTATTAATATTTCTATATATTAATATTTCAATTAATATTCAATTACGATATATTAATATTTCAATTGGAAATTTATTTTTCTAAAAAAAAATCTGGCCCCCATGTTTAGATAACTTATAAATAATAATAATTTACTTTGAACTTATTTCGACAACGGTAAAATCTTTCGATGTCGTAAATATAGGTAAAGACAGTGATACTTAATCGTTCTCTTAAAGCTCATGTTATGAGGTAGGATAAAGTATTGGATACGGTCACAGTAATAATAATAGTTGTAGGCAAAATTTGTACAAAAACACAATTTGTTCGTATTTTGGGTTTGGTTGTTTTAATATATGTCCCATATTATAATTGAAACAACACCCTTTGTATCCGTGCTACTAGTACTAAATAACAGAGGAATCCACTATATCTCCAACATTGTTGATAGCTTCCGATATTATCCGGAAGTTATCACTGAAGTTATCAAATTGATAACGAGCACTACCCATCATTATCATCAACGCATGAAAACATTTAGAATCATAAATGAAATATGTTTGACTATAATTATTGCATTTTAATTGTTTGTGCTGTACCCTGGCACCTGAATACGCCTGAGTGTCAAGCCATATAATTTTTTTTGCTTTATCTTTCATAAACATGGTGCTATTTCTTACCGACTTGCTTGTTTTCCGCTTAGCATCTTCCAAGTAGAAATATCCGTAAATCAAACTAAACAAATATAATAGTGCGGATAATGAAAATATACCATAGTAGCCTATCCAAGTCAATAAGACACCGCTTAAAGCACTTCCTATTGGATATCCCAGAGACATACATAAATTGACGATACCAACTCTGTATGTTCTATCTTCATTTGTAGTAATATCACCAATGTAACTATACACACCAACAAAATTTGTAAACCATCCACCAGTTATGGCCGGAAAAATAGATTCTGTCAAAGCAGAAACCTCCACAGGTAGTTCATAAAAGAAGTAGGTATTAATAACGAAACCAATGCAAGTTAAAAATTCGCCTACAATCGGCATCAAAATGCAGGCTTTTCGTCTGCCAGTTTTGTCACTCCATGCTCCAACAAATAATATTAATAAAACAGGAATAGCTGTTTGCACAATATTTTTCCATGTTTGAATTCCAGCGATATAAGTTTGAACTTGTTCTTCGTATTCTGTGTAATTTTCCGTTTGTCTCAGTTTAAGAGCATCACAAATCTCACTTGTAAAGTTAAGGTTCACCCTACATGCTTTTTCTAGGTTTAAATTTTGTGTCGCTAATGATGCTAAAATACTAGGCATAATGTAACATGCCATAACCGGTTCTACAGTAACGTTCTCCTTAATTAATTTCAATCTTTGTAAAATCGTCAAATTTTCATTTCTTTTATGCTTGCCTTTTTTAACGGTACTGTCCGATTCTGGTTTCAAAGGTGACGTTTCAACGAATTTATCTTTATTCCTGTCAATATTATTGCATTCAATCTCCATATTCATCGCTAGGTTTTCTTTAGTCGAAACCATTTTACAATTATTAATTCCACTACACTTTCGAAACAATGCAGTATTCACATTTCTTATTTGTTGTTCAACTGCAGTTATTACTGATGATCGTGTAAAGCTGTGTAATTTTATATTATGAGTATTTGTACTTTGATTATTTATAACATAATCGTTATTAAATATTTGTAAAGTAGCACGGCGTGCTAAATTTGATAAGAATCATACACGAACAAAGAAAATACATATCGACGTCAAAACAATTTAATACTACTTGTACACCAAACTACAATATCGAATAATTTTAATGTTTATTTTTTGAATACACAAAGTAATTGGTTGAAAATGAATCAGAAATAAAATATGCTAAATCTGTACATGGAACAGTTTAATGTTTTATTGTTCAAAACTGTTAAGAAATTATAAGAAATAATGCATAAAGATATTTATATTACATATTAATTTGTTTTATCTGTTAAGATCATAAATCAACACGGGCCGCCGACGTATCTGACAAAGATCGTAGTTTTGAAAATAATAAATAAATACTTGTAAGTTAGTTACAGTTTTTTATTTAGATTACTTATTTAACATTTTGTTTGCAATTTTTTTTTTATTTTGTACGAGGAGCTATGCAGGTTGAGATACCAGTATCACTGCGAGCTAAAAGATCTATTGTGATCGCTGCTATGTCTGTAGTACATTGCTAAGCCATACATCCTCAATGAATAGAAGGAGTTGCTTAGTTTTTCATTGCCTACAATATCCGCGAGACCCAGAACCCATCTTAAAACGACCCTGTTGTTACCACCCAGGGCTTTGGATGGTTCACGCAGTCTCCAATTAGTTTCGAGTTCACCAAGTTTGATTTCAGCGCTAGCAGTGCTGCTTAACTATCAGAATTAATATAGATTATATGGTTAACTTAGTATTTTTACAGGTTGTTTTACGCACACTGAAGTATAGTGAAGATTTCTGCTTGAAAAATAGAGTTGAATCTACACAAATTCATACTAAGTTTGAATTAGAGGCATTCCCCATAAATTCCAAAGCCTACGTCGAGGCCCATTTTTGACCCATCGGTATACCATATAAGGTAACCGACCTCACAGATGAACTGACCATTCAGCCAGTCTTCTCTGGAGGGTAGTTCCAATGTATGCTTTTTGCTAAAAGTATATAGTGGACGCATGATATCTGAGATCATGCATAAAATCGATGTTTCCTTAATTGAGTCGAGCATGGATCTCAATCTATAGAAAACCAAACTCAAATCGCCCTGAGCGTCAATTATATATAAACTAGTCCTCGCCTCTTTGTATAAGTGAAGATCAAGGGGCGTTAGGCCTAGAAGTTCATTAAGAGCCGCTCCGAGCGAGTTTTATCAGCATTAACTGATAAACTGTTATCCCTACACCAGTTTTTTATGGTGTAGCCGGTGGAAGAAAAAGGGGTGATCTCCCACCGGGTAAGGTGTTCTGCCTGGGGAGCGGCCACCGCTCCGGTTGGTAGTTCGGAGCTATTCTATATATGCTGCTTTAACTTCGGAACTTTGTTAGTGTGATTTAGGCTTCGATATGTTTCGCTTGTGGCGCGACGACAGCGCCGCTACATCACCCCCTGCTCAGACCGGAGGTCGATAGTGCAGTCTAGATGTCGACGAATTTGCAAGTGCCAGAGATTTGCCTTGTAAGTCTGCGGTGAGTCGAGAAGAAGGCAAGTAATCTGCGAGAGTGCCGTGAAGCAGAGGCTCAGAGGCTCAAAGCCGTGCCGAACACTATTGCGCAGAGAGTACCTTGAAGGAACAGGAAGTATTATTATTCCAGTGCTGCGATGAACCCTAGTAAAGCTAGATTGGCTTGCAGAATGTGAAGACTGCAGACAATATCTGCTCGAGAGCGAATGAATGGGGTACTTGAGGATGATGACGAAGGTTTCGAGGTTGTAGTTTCCGAAGGTTGTTGGTTGCCGTGTTCATATCACGTCGGGGTCACCAATGTAGCCGGTGGAAGGAAAAGGGGAGATCTCCCGCCAGGCAAGGTGTTCTGCCCGGGGAGCAGCCAACGCTCCAATTGGTAGTTCGGAGCTATTCTATATATGCTGCTTTAACTTCGGAACTTTGTTAGTGTGATTTAGGCTTCGATATGTTTCGCTTGTGGCGCGACGACAGCACCGCCACAATGGCGTTTAGGGCTCTTTGTATGGTTAGTGACCTCGTTGACGTCCTTTTCTTTGGCAAAAGTCGCTCGCAATGATCTTAAGGTCATCAGTATAACCCAGTGTGGTATTGTACAAGGTCTGCCATCTTGTACAATAATTGGTCAACCGCAAAAGTCCAAAGGACGCGTGACAAAACATCTCCTTGTGGACAGCCTCATGTAGTTGTAATCTCAATCGAGCTCTTTTTTGCCTTTCTGTTTGAGGGCATAGACTTCACCCACCTGATGTTTGTGGGGTCAACATAATCAAAGTTTATCCATCGATAAACTTTTCTAATGTAATGATTTCTTATATTTACGCGAACACTACATATTGAATAGAACTACTTTTATAGATTTTATCGCGTTTAGTCAACTTATTTTTCCAATGTCTTGAAAAGAAAGGAAGAAAGGCTTATAGGTCTAAGGGACTTTTATAAATAGAAATTTGTCAATTGTCCATCATTGTAGAGTATATCCCCATGCAAAACTTGCTCTGAAGATATTTATCAGATAAGGAAGAAGGGTATCGATACCTCTCTGTAGATAGATGGGAATTATTCCATCCTCCCCACTAGTCTTATATGATATAAAGGAGTCAACAGCCCACTGCACTAGGTTTGGTCTTATTATCTTTGCTGCCTTAGACCAATCCTCATAACAAGGCATTCGCAGGACTCTGAACGAGTTCGAAGCAAGAGTCTTATGTGACCCTTTTTTTTTCATCAAATGACGCCTTTCGCTCTGGGTGGAGCGGAAGGGAGTGTCAGACTTTTACTGACTAAAAACCATCCGTGTTCCTTCAGTGCCCTTACGTTCCGGAGCCGCGGTATCTCTTTCGAACAGCCCGCAGCAAGTCTTATGTGACCCTGGGAAATGGGCTGACGCTAGTAGCTCCACTTTTTCCGTTTCACTAGTTGTGAAGTTAACATCTGGCTTTTTAAGAAGCCTGATCTGAAATAATGTTTAGCTTTCAATAACACTTTGCCGTGTAGTGGCGGTCATTGCCGTGTAGTGGCGATCAAGAATATCCACTACCTCATATCTTCCCGTGGGTATCGTAAAAGGCGACAAAGGGAAACAGGCAGGAGATGGGCACCAGCATCTTCCCGATAATAGCCAAAATTACAATAAAAAAACTGCGGTTGCCAACCCGCTAGCAAACACCCCCCAATGATTAGAGCAACAAACAGATTGCCCCCAGTCCCCGGCGGCCCCGCTATTCCTGGCTACGGTGGCGACCATGGTAACGGCGGGGCAGGGGGTGCTAAGAATCTCCGGCGGAAGTTCGATTGCCACCTTAGACGACTTGACCTGGCAACGTACAACGCACGCACCCTGAGGACTGACGAGAAGATCGTGGAGCTGGAAGAAGAGAGACAAGTTTCGCTGGCATATTATAGGATTATCCGAAGTCCGAAGAGAGGGAGAGGACACGGTAATCCTCGAATCCGGCAACTTGCTCTATCACCAGGAGGGCAACCATCTGACCCAAGGAGGTATCGAATTTATCATCCACAATTCTCTCGTTAACAACGTTGTAAAGATCGGGAGTGTGTCGACGAGGGTTGCGTACCTTATACTCAGAATCACCAAACGGTATTCGCTGAAGGTCATACAGGTTTACGATATGAATGAGAAGCTCGTGGAAACTGTCCATGCGGTCGGAGCTAAGTTCTGCAAGACCCGCCGCAGAAAAATACAAAAATTCTCCGATCACACTCTTAATCTCATGGCTGTTAGACGGGAGATGAAGCTACATACTTCAACAGATTTAAGAGCATACAGGCAACTGAACAGACAGATCTCCAAATGCATGCGGCCGGACTATTAGCACTAGAAAGGGATTTAGCACCACAGACCACATACATACCCTTCAGTAAATTGTACAGAAGTCCGAATAGTGCAATTTGCCACTATGTCTGGCGTATGTGGACTTTGAGAATGCCTTTGATTCCGTCGAAATTTGGGCGGTTCTGCAGTTCCTTCAGCGGTGCCAAGTTGACTGTCGGTATATAGGGAAGTTCTGAAGTGTTTGTACAGTAGAGCTACGATGGCTATCCGAGTACAGAACCAGAGTACGAAACCTATCCAATTACAGAAAGGTGTAAGACAGGGTGACGTTATATCCCCGAAACTCTTCACCGCTGCATTGGATGATGTTTTCAAGCTTCTGGACTTGAAAGTATACGTATCAATGGCAAGTACATCACTCACCTTCGATTTGCCGACGATATAGTCCTTATGGCAGAATCGCTGGAGGACCTAAGCACCATGCTTAATGACCTCAATAATGTCTCCCAACGAAGAGGTCTTAGGATGAACATGATCTGAGACGTGGTCCTTCACTGCTGGCCGTATAAGGAAGCTCAAGGTCGCTTAGCGAGCTATGGAGAGGGCTATGCTCGGGGTTTCTCTGCGTGATAAACTTAGAAATGAGTATACCCGCAGTAGGACCAGAGTAACCGACATAGCCCAACGGATTAGTAAGCTGAAGTGGCAGTGGGCCGGCCATATAGCTCGAACAACCGACAACCGATGGGGAAGAAAGGTTCTCGAGTGGCATCCTCGTACCGGTAGGCGAAGTGTAGGGCGACCCCCCACGAGATGAATTGACGACCTGGTAAGACATGCAGGAAGTCGATGGATGCTGGTGGCTCATGACCGTGCTTTGTGGCATTCCTTGGGGGAGGCCTATGTTCAGCAGTGGACTTATGTAAGGCTGTAATGATGATGAGTGATGACTTCACCCACAATTCAATCCAGACCTGCCCGTTACCAAAATCCAATCTGGCTTGTGGGTGAAATCCGAAAATTTTGGTCACA